GCCAGGGCCTCCCCACCCTCACAGGGAACAATTTCTTCTTTAATCTAAATCTCTCCTTTTTCATGTCACAGATACAACAGTGTTGTTGTCCAGTAGCTTTGATTCTTTTTAGTTTCCTACACATTTATACTTAAAGTATTTAACATTTTAACTGACAAAGAAAGTTCTCCTCGTTTAATTTCTCCTCAAACAAAAGAAACTTTGGGACAGTTTCTAAATGCTGAAGAGCTGCCTGATGCTTTTGGAAATAGTGACTGTGTTTGGTAAATATTTGTGTTTGCTCACTGCTCTGTTGTGATGAGCTGCTCGCCGAGGTCGAAAGCCCCCTGTGTGCATTTCAAGATGTGGCTAATAAATGTTGGATGTCTTGGGGAAAAGCGTGTCCAGTTTCATATGCAGGGAGAGAGTTTAGTACATGCACACTTTTTATTTTTCAGGAGGAAACAGGAGCTGTGTCTTGAAGAAAGAAAAAAAAAAGTCCATCCTGATAACCTACCTGGGTTTTAGGGGGTTTTTTTGTTATTGTTTTGAGAGATAATTTAGTGAGAGCAGCAGCTTTCCCAGGATTTGCAGGGCGGAAAGGATAAAATAAAAGCCCTGATGAAGGCTGTAATTGTCATAATTCGATTTTTTTTTTCTAATTTTTATTTTTCGAGGCAGCGTTTTGTTTGTTGTGGGTTTTTTTAATAATGCTGAAATTCTGAGCGTGTTTTTACTGTAACTTGCTGTTAGTTCTCCTGTAAATCCCAGAGGAGAACTTGTGTTTAACTGGGTGGAAGGACAGGCTCTGCTGTTTTGGGAGTGCCAAGGCTGTATCTTGGGTACACGAAGTACCTCGTCCCCTGATCTTTAGACACACTGTCCTGCACAACTCACATTAGCAGTGATTAATGGCTCTGAAAATAAAAGATAAACCCATTCCTTACAGATCCTATTTTTAATCCGTGCAGGAATATTTTATGCCCTGGCCAAGGAGCAGAATTTATCTCTGTGTGTTGCTCCCTTTTAGTCCAAACAAGACCAGGGCTCGGGCATTGGCCTGTGGTTGTTGATGCTGATTAATTTTTCCTGGAATTTCAGCCTTGGTCAGCTGCTGCCTTCCTAAATGTTACTTTTGTGGGGTTCAGGAGTCATTTGGAGCACAAAATGTGGGTCCCACCCTCCTCTTCCTCTGTGGGGTCAGAATCGACCCGTGTGACTCGAGCTCTGTGGTGCCACTTGGTCCCTGGGCCAGGAAGTCATTATTTTCTGTTATTTAATGATACAAATCGATACAAAATGATATAAATATGAATAGTGTGTTTGCATGGAATTTTGCAGAGTATTTGTGCAGCCTCTACAAGGTTCTAGTACCTCTAATTCTGTTATTTAATAAGGATTTGTTTGGATGTGTGAGATCACTTTATAGGAAGTGATGACCCCTCAGTGGAAACTTATTTTTTTTTCATTCAAAGAAATTCCCTAAAGGATTGTTCTGCCTGTGGCAGGAACACACCTGGCTGGGGAATATTTCTTTACTACCTCTTCAAACAATACCCAGGGAGATCTTCCCAGTCCACAGAAGCTTCCACTAAACCAAGGTTTGACCAATGATTTGTACTAAGCAAAAAAAAAAACCAAAACCCTAAATTCACAGAATTCCAGGTTGGAAGCGACCTCAACTGTCATCTGCTCCTACCTTTCTTGGCATAAATAACATCTGAATAAATAATTTATTTGTAATAATTCTGGAGCAGCACTTAAAGCCAAGTTACTCTTTTTTTACCCACGGTGGCTCTGTGGAGTTTACAGATGTCCCTCCCTGCTGTCCTCTTTGTTGGAGTAGTTTGTGTTTTCAGGGATATAAGTGGGATAATTGCCCTTCCCTTTGTTTTCCAGAGGGAATGTGTTTGCCTGTGCCATGTGCATTTCCAGCCATATAGAGCAGAAGGTTCTGAGCTGGTGAACGGGACACCCCAACACCTGCAATGTGAAATCTGTGGAGAATTCCTGTTACTCTGTAGTAAGTAATTTTTGTTATTTACATATTTATGTGAATAACACACGTTTTTAGAAGACAAACAGAGCTTTGAACTAATTTAAGGCAAGGGAGGGAATGTGATTTAGACTTTATCCTTTTATCACGGCGGTGCTTCGTTTTCCTAAACAATTATTTAGCTCAAGAAATAAAAGTAAAGGCTTTGCTGTGTTGCCTTTGCTGCTCGTTTACAGAAATGTGCAATGATAAAAACATTCCCTTCTCTTTCCAACACAGGTAAATAGCAAGAACCAACCAATGGACACTCAGTTATTTTCCCCATTGCTGGGAGCAGTTCCCAAT